TAAAACCAGTTAATACCTTCCAAAACTGCAATCAAAATATCAATTACTCATTGTTCCTTTCCATTGCAATTCTCCATTCAGCATGGAGAAAACATGCCTTGGCATTTATTTTTATGCAAGGTTTTTCATCATAGTAAGAAATAAAACAATTACTAATTGAGCAAATTTCAATGTATGAACTGTTGAACTATGCAGTTTTTCAGGCCAAATGTAATTGTTTATATTGTGTTATTGTTATTGATTTGGATCCTAATTAATGTGACACCATCATGAGCATTGTTTCAATAGAATTTTATTCATAGAAAACTGCCATCTTTAAAACAGGGATAAACATTTTTTCCTGATAACCTTTACTGCCTACGGTCTCCAGAAATTTACTCCAGAGTGTTGGTAAAATGTCTGAAACAATATTGAGGGGAACAATATTGAGGGGTAGAATTCATTTTTACCTTCTTCCTCCTGTGGAAGTTTTTTGTAATATCATAGACAAGATAAACTTTTTCACCCATAGCAGAAAATTCAAATTCAGCCTAATACATGTTTTTATTAGTCTCAATTTGAAATAGAAACCCAGTGTATAAATAAAGCAACCTAAATAAACAACTTGCTTTAAAGCATTTTTTCCTGGGATAAATTATATCATTTCTTTTTAAAAGGCCAAATGTACCTGTGAATTCACAGACATTTACTTCAGCATGTTAGTTTAAAAACTGTGTTCCATTTTAATTGGTCTCAGAGGCCCTTATATTGCATAACAGTAAAATTTAAGATTGTTTAGAGAAGTCAGCAAAGCTCTTTAAGGAGAGCAAACTATTTTTATGAACTAACAAAAATATCTGAATTTCATCCAAACCATAATTTCTGACCAATCACGCCAATGCTGGCCATATGAAGTGGCTCTCAATTTTGGAATGTTAGAATAAATCCTTGAAGAGACGGATTAACAGACAGGGAGATGATGAGTTAGAGGGTGTATAACAAATTCATTTATCAAATGGATTGACAGTTTATCATCTACATATCAGTATGATTACATAGAGATATGCACACAACTTTCATATTTCTTCTGCCTTCTTCCATAACTAAAAGAAAATAATTCACCAGTAGTAATGTAGCAAAGAATTCTTCTTTCAGTCTCTAAGGCATAATATATCAGAAGAGACTTGTCACAATTTCTGAACAACAAATAGCAGAATACAAGGGAAAATGCAGTTAAGTTTTATTGTCTCCATGTTAGCAATTAACAAATTAATAAGAAACATGAGTGGTTATAGTAATGTAGGAAAGAAATGCCATAGCAGCTATCTCATCATGCAAAAAAAAGAAAAGAAAAAAAAAGTCCTTAAGGAAAATAATACAGTAATGTTAATTTTTGACTTAGTTCTAATCTTAAGGAAAAAAATAGAGAATCGGTTTCAATTCTGATGTTGAGTTTAAAAGAGTTAGTTAATCTCTGTTTACTTTCCTTTTCACTGTCTAAACCTCATGGTAAGCCAAAACTCTGAAGAGTTAATTCTTACTGTGATAAGCAGATAAGGTCTGTGCATGTCCTCTTTCATTCATAATATGGAATGTAAACAAAGCTACTTTCAATGTACTTATTTACATTCCCTGATTGTTAAAGTACTAATAATGTTTTGTCTTTTTACTATGCAATATAAGATACTTGATATTCTTTTTTTTAACATACACACACACACACACACACACACACACACACACACACACAGTACTAAAGACTAAAACAATACGTGGGCTAATTGCTACTTGTAAGGCACCATGTGTGAGTTACCACCAAAGAATATCAGATTCTTTCTCCATTCCTAATCTGCAATATCACACAGTCCTAACCTTTTCATTGCTCCTTTTCACCCTTTTCCTGATATATCTTGAAGAACATAAGAAATAATTAAAATCTAGGTAAATGCTGTTGTGAGGAAAAACAAAATAAATTAACAAACTTTTCAGAAGGTCAACAGAAGGCTGACATTTATATTAAGTGATCACAAGGTTTCCAAAGATTAGTTTTACTTTTGCTAATAAACTTAGTTTAGGCAAAATATTAGTAAGCTTCATTCTTCTGTTTATCAGCAATAAGCTGTTTTTAAACAATTAAAGACTACAGTACATAAATGTTTAATGCACAGCAGACTGTTAAGCTGATTACATCATAGAAATAGTAAAATAGGGAATAAACACTTTTATTCACAAATCATTGTAATGCTGTTTTCCCACATGCGTTGGCTATCTGGGAAATTAACATAGTGAGAATTGTTGTTCTTTTAAAATTCCAGATTTCTTGGCAAAAAGAAAACAGCATTCTGTATGTTCCTTTGTGTAATAAAGACATTTAATCACACTACTAATCTTGAGGCCTTTGTATTTTAAAAGATATTACAAGGAATTCATGGATGCCATCACTTCTTGTTTCATACATATGTTTGCAAGTAGAATTTATGTCATGTCAGATTATCTACCTAATTCTAGTTAATTAACTGTGGTTTGCAGAGGGCTAGGAAACACCTGTGGGGTGTCTCTGGCAGCTTTCTGTACAAGATATTACTAGGGAGACATTTATTAACAAATAAATGTCTATTTGTGCATTTAGGCAGCTTTGCTTGTATTATACATATCTCAGTTTATCACAGAAGCAGAAGCTAACTACCTGGAAAATTATTTTAAATACATACATACATATACATATACATATACATATACATATACATATACATATACATATACATATATATACTCCTAAAATACTCATAGCATATCACTGCAGGAAGGCTCAAAAATCAGAAGGTCCTGTCGCAAGTCCAATGTTTATGCACTTTAGAAACATTTCAGAAAATCATGAATAAAAGTGGTTATTAACTGTAACAAAATCAAAATGGTCCATGTCTGAATTCATGGAGAAGAACAGAACTTGGTAATGCCAATAAGGACAGGAGCAGTGATGCCAGTCATTTTTAAATCAACTATTCAAACAGTTATTCTCTTACAAATTCAGAAAAAAATGTTTTCGAAGGTCACTTTCATGTAGCAGTACTTTGTAAAGTTTGCAGGATCTAACATTACAAGTTGTATAAATATTCTCTTGCTGATAACTATCTGTTTTAAATTATGAAAAAGAAGTTCAGTATACTTATAGAATTATATATGAAAAAGACCATTAGGTTTTATTTTATTTATTTATTTTTAGTGCTGGGATAAAAAAAAATGGTGTACCAATCACAAAACCTTCTAGGCTTTTTTCTAAAAAACAAAACAAAAACACAGTGGAAAATTTAGGAAGAACTATAAGTGTTTCATTAAAATCTTTTTTAATCTATAATTCTTGTCATAAAAAGCCATGTATATAAATAATCATGCACCTAATAATTTACAAAGACAGCTATCAACAGTGATGTACATTTTCCTTCTTTCTGAAACTTCTCCAAAGTCATTTTGCTCAAAAATACCTGCCAGCCACAGTATCTCCCTTTTCAGACGTTCTTTTTGGATCCCCAAATCCTTTTTCCATTTGTAAAATGTAGCAAACATTGCAGAGAGAAACCACTGTCCAAAAAAGAAGCTCAGAGAAAAGACAGAGAAACCCTTTTCATCTATTTAAATATTGGGTCAGCATTTTTCCTAATACTGTACTCACAGTTTTCCCTAACACTTTATATGTATGCTATTGAGAGAGGTTAACTGCACAGTTATGGGATAACAGCTTTTCATACCCATGCATACTGATGGAAAGTGTGAGCATGTCTGCATGTAAAATCATCATAAGAACTAATTTTCCATGAAACAATGTTATAGGAGATTTCTTTATCCACCAGCTTGAGACTACAAGACTTAAGCTTAGCACTGCACCTTAAGAAACAGTACAACAATGTAGTAAGTTCTTGTCCTAGCAATCTGAAAGAACAGAGAAAAGCAAATATGACAAGGCAAGCAAAGCAGAAAGGAGAAGACCATAACTTGCAAGATCTGTTCTATAATTATCCCATGCGTAAACAAAATAAATCTAAAGTGTTAGATTAGGGTAGGTAGGGTAGAAAATCTATATACTATTAAAACTCTTGCGTCTGTAACCTTCAATTGGACGAAATGGTGCATCCAAGGGCAACAATTTTTGAACCAAGATACCTCAAATGGGCTAACTTTCAGAATGTGTCCAAAATCCGGGACTCATGACTTCTATGGGATTGAAATTTGGGAAATTTGTGGCTGCTTCAGCACTGCCCTACTGGTGCGCTACTGCAGTCACCCCAAGTCACATGATCTTCATGGACGTATCCACGATCTGTTTCCTGCCTCCCTCTATCCTCTGTGCCCAATCGGCTGGTGGCAAGACCCAACAGGTGAGTGGCAATTGGCTGCTTTGGGACTGAGGCAGAAATTTGAAATCTCTTAATGACTGTGGGCATTGAGGGAAGGATGAGGGAGTGACTTGGATGACTGCTGGCAAGGTAGGGCTGGCTTGAGGGAGGGGGCCCTTGGGGACATGCTGGAATGGGGAGCAGGGGTGAAGTATTCCTCATGGTCCATGGCTCCCTTTGTTCCACCTCCCCCCAGCAAAGTGGCAGGCAGTTTTGCAGGTCAGCTAAGGAGGAAGAGGGGATGGCAACTTCACCGGGGCTCATGTCTGAGGGACATGAGGGGAGGGCAAATGGTGCAAGAGTATATTATATATGGGGAGGGGGGGAGGGAGGGAGATTTCTGATGCTCCCTGACAGCTTCCCACATGCAAAGTCAATGGGGAAGCCGGCAACAAGTTGTAAGTCGCTCATACTCCCACTGCTTTTTTGCCCTTGGTCATTCTGTTTGTCTGTTTAGGTAAGAAAATATCTCTGAAACGATGACTCAATAGGTCACGGGTTATCTAGTATCCTTTAAAATGTTCATAAATACTTTTTAATTAAAATCAAATCAAATATATTTTATAAATATTCCAAAAAGTCCCATATTTCTTCAGAAATTTTTATTCTCCCAGATATAAACAAGCTTACCTCCCTCAACATTGGATCCATTATTGAACTGAGATTGACAGCTCCTTCATAGGTTAAGTAGTAGAATACATTTAGAGATCTGACAGCTTCTGGCCCTTGCTGTTTATAGCCAAAAATCAGATCAATCCACTGGTGCAGTTGACAGGAAACAAATTCACTTTCCAAAGCCTGAAACAAAATACAACACTGTTTATATGGTTTCTGAAACTTATTTGCTGTCCACAATCTTACATAAACAATAATGGAAAGGTTAGAAAGATGTAAGTGCCTTAGAGGAAAAAAAAAATCACAAACTGTTACAATGCTGTTCACAGCTTTTAGAGTCTGTTGAACCCAGCTATTTCATGCAGGTCCCTGATGGAGTTTTAACCATTTGCAACAGAGTTGTACTAGTATGAAAAGAAAAGAAAAGAAAAGAAAAGAAAAGAAAAGAAAAGAAAAGAAAAGAAAAGAAGTATTCAAGGTTGTACCATGCACAATTAATTCACTATGGCTGAGTAACCATAGTCTAATTTGACCATAATAGGGAAGGACAGGAGAGACTACTGTAATCATCCCAATCTTGTGCCCTTCAGTTGTGCTGGCTAGATTTTCTGGGATCTAATAGCAGATTTGACAAAACTGTAGTTTTCTGGAATATACTTATAGACTTGTGTCAATTGCACTTTCCTCTGTAATATGCAATGCATACAACAAGTATTGTAGAGTTTCAAACAGCCTTTTATACCACAATCATTTCCCCTCACCCACGGGTATCAATGGTTCTCATGAAGTGATTTATGTGCCAACCAGCATTATTTCAAATGGAGCCTAATATTAAAATCTTAGCTTCCCTTCAGTAGTAGGTCCCCTATATATAATTAAAATAGCATCACTAAAATCTTATTTCAGAATCTTGTCTTATAATTGAAATTAGCGCTAGAAATCAACCATACTAAATTTCTTTCAAACTCAGTTTTAGTCATAATTGCTACACATCTATCACTAATGGGTTAGGATTGACTTTTTAAAAAAAAAAGTTAATTTCAATTATAAGACAAGATCCTGAAATAAGATTTTCCATCTCTTATTTCATTTATTATGTTCTCTTCAGGCAATGTACCCTTAACTTTGATCATGATACAGTATAAAATAATGCTTTATTTCAAGGTAGTTGCTAAATTTTTAAAGACTTCAATTAATTATAAACTGTATTTTGTAAATATCATTTCTAAAGACGGGACTTATTTTTGATATTTTGGAGATGATTTTTCAGATTCATTAAAAGATGTCCAGTGACTCTAGGACTGTGAGCCCTAAAAGATAGACCACACTAATAAACATACACCATACAGATGTAAAGCTACACTTACTACAACAGCTATAGGATCTTGCAAGTCTGAATGTGCTTCCCTTCCTTCCTTCATCTTCATGAGAATTAAGGGGGAAGGGCTGTCTGAGGTGTATTCATAAACCACTTTCTTGGGCTGGGTGTAGTCTTGTTTATCATACTTGGTAGCAGGTATTCTTTCTGCCCTTAAAGCCCGCCTCTTTACTCACTACAAAGATACATATAACAAATGTTTATGCAAATAATTTCTGCATTCTTTCAAGTTCTTTGATTGATTGATTGATTGATTGATTGATTATGTGCCATGAAGTCAGTGTCAACTCTAAGCAACTACATAGATTTTCTCCATGACAATCTGTCCCTAATCTGGTCTTCCAGGTCTTCCAATGATACACCCATCACCACTGTAACTAAGTCCATGCACCTTGCTGCTGGTTGTCCTCTTGTCTTTCCTTCTACTTTTCCCAGCATTAGAACCTTCTTCAGGGAGCTAGGTCTTTCCATAATATGCCTGAAACAGGATAATTTGAGTCTGGTCATTTGTGCCTCAAGTGAGAACTCTGCATTGATTTCTTCGATGATCCATTGATTTGTTTTCTGTTTCATTTGTTTGTACATGGTATTCTCAGGCGACTTCTCTGAACCAAAGTTCAAAAGCATCAATATTATTTCTATCCTGCTTTTTCAAAGTCCAACTTTCACTTCCATAGAGTTTCACAGGGAATACCACTGCATACACTATTCTGATTTTTGTATCATCATGGTATCTGAATAACTTTTCCAAGGCCTTCATGGTTAATCTACCAAGTGCTAGTTTGCAGCATACTTCTTGACTGCTTGATATCTTGTATGCTTAAGGCAGGAGCTATCCACTACTTCAGTATCTTAATTGTCAATTCTATGGCTAGTTGTTGTATCTGATGTTATTAGTTTAGTCTTCTTTATATTTAATTTTAGTTGAATTTTTTCCCTGTGCTCTTTGACTTTATTGCTACAGCTTGCAGATCCTTTGCATTTTTGGCTATCAGGGTAGTCATCAGCATAGCACAGGTTTTTTCTCCCAGTTTTAAAACCATGCTCATCTTCTTCCTATCCAGCTTCCATTAATACATATTCAGCATATATGTTGAATAAATGAGAGAATACAGCCTTATTTCACTCCTTTGCCAATCCACAGCCAGCCTGTTTCACCTGGTTCTGTCTGTACTGTGGCTCTCTGACCTGTATATAAGTTTTATATGAAGATAAGAAGATTTTCTGGGTTTCCCATTTTTCTAACTATATTCTACAGTTTGACATGACTGACACAACTAAAGGCATTTCTATCATCATTGAAGCACATACTGACTTTTTTTTTTGCATATTCCTTGGCTTTCTCAATTATATAGAATACATCAGCAATAATAGCTCCTGTTCCTCAGCCTTTTCTAAAGCCAACTTGTGCAAGTTGACCAAGTTCTTTAGTGCAAGGCAATGAGAAGTTTTAAGTGAATCTAAAGACATCAGGGAGAGATTAAGACTTAACTATCTGAGATTAAGACTTAACAGTCCTTCATATAGTTAAGCAACCATACTTCCATTGATTAACATAGGCGTGTGCAAATATTTCAGAAATGGTGCTACAGAACTTGAAAGATTGCATACAAAGCACTTCTTTTTCTAATTGTTAAAGCAGTCAAGCTTGTGCAGCTGCTTGAAGATGTTGTTGGTTTGACTGGTGAAATAGCTGTGCATGTACATCCCTACAAAGGTACCCAAGATGAGCTTCTAAAGCGGCCATGCAGTTTTATTTTAGATACCTTAAGAAAATTTCATAGAACACAGGTTAAGTACAAATCAGATAAAGTTATCCAGTGAATTTGTCTAAAGATTTAAATTCAGGTCACATGGTCATCCAGCACACACTCTTGTTTCTGTACATAGATCAATGTGTTTTAGACAACAATTTCCATTAGCTTCAGCCAGAATAGCCAATAATCAAGTATCCTGTAATTTAAAATATCTCGAGGGCAAAATGTTGTTGAAGGTTGTATATAAGGGAGTAAAAGCATGCTGTAGATATAGAATATGGCAATGTATTGCTCTTACTTGTTAAAATGTCTTTACAAAATACAATCCCTGACTGTACAAAGTATTTTAGATCACATGGATTAGATTAGATTAGATCCGCAAAATCAGGTAACAGAGATTTAACTATCTTGTGTAGGTTCAGAGATCCTGGATCTGTCAGAGAGAAGTAAAAACTTCACACACTTAAATTATGAGGTTGAGAATCAATTCAAAGACGTTAGATAGCAGAATGGGTATACAATACAGCCTGTTCTTTACCAACTACAAGCCATCTTGCTGCTTTAATTGTGGTGATAGATGCTTTCTTTTTGCTAATGATGAATGAAGATCAACTGCCAGACCTGATGGCTTGTACACATAAAATAAGGAGTAAGTCTTTTTTTTTTTTTTTTACATCAGACATAAAATATTTTGGGCTGAACTGGTTTCTCTGCCTGTACGCATTTCCGTCTAATTTCAACAGAGGACACTGCAGGTACACATTTCTTTCTGCTGGGTATTCTCTGAATGAAAGATCTCTTGAGATAAAGCAGAGAATAATTCATTCTGCAAACATGATAAATCAGGATCATACTGGATGGAAAGGTGATAATCAAATATTGTGAACCCTCCTGCTCAAACATTAGTGCATATGTACTAATAGACCATATTCTGAATTGGCTGAGGAAAAGGCAACAAAGTCAGTAGTATGATACATGGATCCTTAATGGAAAATTGCATTTCCCTTTGGATCTGAGAAGTGCAGATGAAATAATGCGAAGAAGCAGGACAGTTTTATAATTACAGAAATTAAGCATGGTTTCCTTTTCAGTGAAATGTCCTATTTAAACTGGGAAATTTACTCAGGCCCTGAGAAGCCACTCTGCAATATGCATACAGAAATGATTGGTTAGTTTCATTAACTGATGCCTGAAGAAACATTTATATTGACACATAAAAAACAGCAATTGTCTTAATTTGTGTGGTGCACTCTACACAAAAGCCCTAAATATGTTCAAATTAGAGCAAGCTGCTTGATTGTCACTGCAATCTCATGTCATGTTAATGCATGACAAACATTAAACCATACACTTAAATGGCAATTTATATCATTTAAATGTTTACTGCCTGAGCAACTCATCAGTCATTTAAATGTGATTTTCTGACAGCTAATTTCAGTTAATTTTCCTCTATTCACTTAATTAGAACTTTCAATCAGGAAAAGGCCTATCCATATCTTCATGTTCATATCATTTTTTTCATTTAGAAGCTCAGTTAGTAAATTGCTACATACATCCTTTATAATAGGTGACAATGTATTAAGTCATTCCTCTATCCACCCCACATCCCACCCCCAACAGAAAACGCATATAAGAAAATCTTGAAATACATATACAGCATTTATCAGGAAAGCTGCTTATTTCATGAGAGGAATATTCTAGCTGATTCTTAAAAAAAAAACTTCACAAACACACACACACACACACCCCAATTTAATTAAATATTAATGAATTCCAAATTGCTTAATAAGTTAAAAGCTGTGAAAACTGTGTTTCTCCAGAGTAGTCCATTTGGCTATAAAATTCCATAAGACTGAACCAGTGACAATCATATAAATTAATGCTGTCAGAAACATTGCTCCAGTATTCATCTTGTATCTATTTTGTTGAGAGAGGGAGGGAGGGAGGGAGGGAGGGAGAAAAAAGAAACAAACTAGTTTCATATCTGCCCACAAACCATCCACAAATTGGCCTGTTATAAAATTCTAGTGGGAACATCAGTATGCATT